TGGGCAATAACGTTAAAATTATGTCGAAATTTACGAAAAAAAAAAAAATAAAAATATTTTATTTAAAAAGAAAATCCTTTCAAATGACAAACTACAGCGCGTACAAATGTTACATTTTCACATAGATTTAACACATTATCGCACACAATTATATTTAGAGTACCTTTGTTTTAATTTACGGTTATGTTATTACAATATGTGTTTAGTTATCTTATTTTATTGTTAAAATACAATTATATTTTTATGAACTCTTTGCATTTATAGAGAAATCCTCTAAAATTATACTGTCAAGTCAATCATACAATATTTATTTCTCAATAAATATAATTTCATAATACAGAAGAAGGTTAATTAATGTTTTAAATAATTTAACTATTTAACAAAGCTCTGTAATAAGTATGATATTATTTGTAAGGAATTGTATTATAAAATTTTAAGTTATAATATACATTCAGGAATGTTTTTTTATTTTAATGCTTATAATTCAATAAATATTTTCCATAATTAAATTAACATAATATAAATATGTTAATTCATCATTAATATTGAATTTACCCACAAGATTACACTTAATGTAAATTTTAATTAATTTAAATATTAAATTCAAAATAAAATTTTTTATCTTTATCAAAAAAATGTTTAATCATCTTTGGGCAATAAGGTTAAAATTATGTCGACATTTACAAAAAAATAAAATAAAAAAATATTTTATTTAAAAAGAAAATCGTTAAATATTATTAAATAAATATTTTCCATATATAAATTAAAATAATATATATATATGTTTATTCATTATTAATATTGGATTTATCCACTAGATTACAGTTAGTTTAAATATTAAATTATAAATTTAATAAACATTTTTATCTTAATCTACAAAAGGCTTTTAGTCATCTTTAGGCAACAATGTAGAGTTTATGTTAACATTTACAAAAATAAAAAAAAAAAAAAAATTTTTAATTGAAAAAGTAAATCGATTCAAATAACAAATTACAATGCGTGCTCATTTTACATTATTTACATTAATTACATGAATTTAATTTTTTCAATTCCTTAACAACAATTATGACAGCTAGTCTATAATTTCTGGTTACAAGAACATCTTCTATGATTTATATAATGTATGGAAATTGTTTATGGATTTAATTTTCGATAATCGTAATATTTTATCGTTCAAATCCTATGTGGAAAAAATGATCTGAATAAAAATTTAACATTATATTGATGTACACTACTCAATCAAAAAGTCTAATGGTTTTTTGATTCCAAATTATAGCTATAAATGTTTTTATTATATTAGACATTTGGAATTTTATACAGCTGAAAGGTTATCAGAAATAATTACTATTTACTGTGTAACAGTTTATAAGAGAAAATCGTCTTTTTCAACTTCCGAGGGGAAGGTGGAAATCTATATTCGAGCATACCTTCCCGTCCAACGAAAAACGTATTTAATATGTATTTCGGTGTCATAGGTTTAACCTAATCTCCCGATTTATGTGTTGTCATCAGTCGATCACGAACTGCTATCCTGTTGCGCAGATGATCATGGACGCCACGCAGCTCATTCACACATCGTCTCTCGTTGCTGGTGGATTTTTGAGAGAACTCGCAACAATTAAGACCTACGAAAATGAAAAATGTACATTTTTCCGTTCACAGGAGGAGTGACGCTCAACGGTTTTCTTAATAATACTTCTATTATACCGTAGAATGATACATTGACAAAATAACAATACAAAATTTTTCTGAAAAAAAAAATGAATAGATTCCAAAGGTAACCGTAGATATTATGAGTACAGTCTCGCACTTCAATTGTTTGTTCATCCGTGTCGGTTATTCTATAATGTCGTGGGTCATTTTTCTCAGAGTCCGCTTCTGATTGTAAATCATCTGCAAATGTAAAATTTTGTACGTTATACTTTTATTAAACATTATTTCGTTTTCGATAACTTTAGTAGCACAAAATGGAAACTATTCATTGAACACACAAACATTATTACGTTATAATTATTACGTTAATTATTAATTATAATTATTACGTTATTTTAAGTGAAAAATAAAATGAAAAAAATGTACAAAAAATTTGAAATTATATCATGTAACTGCAATTTTTAAGTGCTATTTTCAAATAGAATTTTTTCGTAGATAATAATAATTCAAAAAGCTTAAAGATATATACATATTTCCATAATATGTATGTTCCTTCTTTGGAAATGCTTATTACACAATAATCGGATTATTTTAGAAATATTTTATTTTTTCCTATTATGAGTGATAATACTTTATTGTGTCATTTTAAACTATTAATTTCATTCATATATACTGAGTTATTTATTGAAATTAATTAATTAATAAATATTTAGGCAATTTTTACCTAATTAGAAATAGTTTCAGTCAATTAAATATCAAATAAACATTTATTTATTTTTAATATTATAACTTATTTTTGAATAAACATAGTTAACTTTTATATACCTTTGTATTTAATATACTTTATTATTTAAACTTGTATTTATAATACTAATAGAATTGTTGATACATAATTTTTTTTTATACTAATTGTATGTAACATTTATGTTAGATTGCCAACAAAACATTCTAACAAAGTATTTAATCATTGACTAAATTATTTAAATGATGTAAATTATAATTTTTTTTTGACTTATAATTTTCATAATGGTAATATATATTTTTAATTTTAAAATTTAATAATCTGCCTGATGTTCACTATAGGATTTTAATTTCAGATAGTTAAAATTAAAATAGTTTTTTTTTTTTTTTTTTTATATAAAGGATGTATCACTTTATTTGTATAAATTGTAAAGATACATTTACTATAAATATTTTAACTTTTGTTTATAACTTTACTAAAATTAACATCTATACAATATCAATCTTTATGCCAACTATAATATTATAATAAGCCACCTTTATCATATTTATTGTTTAACTGATTGTTACACTTTTGAATTTAGAATTATTATAATTTATAGTCTATTTTTTATGTATTACTATTATCAAACTACAATAGTGCCACTTACAAAATATAATTGTAGTTTTTTGTTGTTAAATCTACAATGATAGTATATTACATTATTATATCAGATATGACATGAGATAGGTAGTCTCCATTCAAATCTCATATTAATAAATATTATATTAAAAGATATTAAAAATATATAAAATATACTTTTAATATAAAATCAACCATCATTGAGATTTGTTCTTATTATGTCAAGGTAAAGCATACATTTTATATAATTGGCTATAAAACACATTTTCACCAAAAAAGTTAAAATTAATATAAAATCAACTAAAGTCCTTTATGGTCTAAGTCCTGAGATAAATATTATAACAAATCAAAAAATGGTTTCAAGCAAAATAAATTCTCTTTTTTTAATGACTTGAGATTATTTACGAAATCCGGTTTAGTATGATACACTTATATAGTAGATATATTCATAAGTGTACTAATATAGCAGCGCTGAAGATGGTGATGATACAAGTCAGAGTGAAGGCAAAATTCAAATATAACAGAATACATTGACATATATTATTTTTTAACATACTTTTAAAATCAATGATTTTGTTTTCAAATAGAGTACATTAAAAAATGCTGGTATAACGACACTAAGGAACGTGCGGAATATGTGATGATACACATGGCAATCGCTGATTCATGACACCAAAAAAAACATCAACAGCAAAATTTCGTTGCGATAGCCTTATTGTGCCGAGAATTCGCAATAGGAAGGAAAGGGATAAAATATGCAGAAAAAAGTGTCACCACACTAAAAAACATCTGATATTTAATAAGCGGAAGCGCAGATTAGTAAAATTGACATCTTGTCCCAATTATTTGGCTTTTGTTTGAATATACAGAGAGGCTGTAAATAGAAAACAGAACTGTAACGATGGAGAAACCACGAACAAAGCGATAAATAACTACAACGAAGTTTTAAACTTAACTTACTTATGAAAAACAACGTGTTTGAGATAAGGGCGTTCGTATAAATAATGATTACTTATGGACACATCGCTGCTGTACTCTGCGTGATTCATTAAAAGGACATTATACTCACGTTAGTGAAGTAACTCGATCTTCGAAAACCTATTTCGTTCGCGCATCTAACATTATCGAAAAAAAATTAATACGTATGCGTTCACCAAACGCGAAGAGTAACGTTGATTGTTAAGAAAAGTATTCATGACATCATAGAATATGATAAAATATATCACAGTCCGTGATATTATCATCGCATTGTTAACAGTGTAGCATGAACATGAATGGATGCCGAAAAAAAAAAAAACAAAAAAATGGTCTGAAATTATCGCATCCGCCAGAATTCCCTATGGGCAGTAGCTATGTATTTACAAATAAAGCTTAGGGAATTTATTGGTTTTTTTTATTATTACATTCTAATCGTTAAAATGTATGAATAATTATTTTAGAACATTTTTTTAGGCCAAATTGTCATCAATCAAAAGTATGTTTCCAAAAATATATGACATCTAGATAAACAGATATAATCATTTTAAAAAAAAAAAAAAAAAACATTTGAATTTTATATATAGGTATTTGAATATAAAATGTTGTATATATATATACAATGGCGTAGCCAGGAGTGGTTTAAGGGGTTCAAACCCCCCTTCTTCTTGGCATAAAAAAAAGGAAGACGATATTGTCCTATCAATGTCATATAATAGAAATATTTTATTTTTTTCCCTTCTAAAAAATATTTTTTAGAAAATTGCTCCTATGAATTATATTATATATAAGCACGAACGCACAAGACTACATAGGTTAGTGAGGTCATGGGGGGAGGTTCAAACTCCACGAACCTTCCCTTGAGTACGCCCCTGTTGCTAATGTCAGTATTTTCATCACATAGTAAGGATAAAAATCGGAATTTATTTGTTGAAGTTGACTCGGTCAACTATTTTTTCCTACATTACATAAATTATTTCATTCTGGACTTTGGGGCTAATCATTTTGCTGTTTTTAGGGGAAGTTTTAAAGTATCTTTGAAGTTCTATATCACCACTGTCGACCTGAAAAAAAAAAGTGCACGAAGAAAACCATTTTCACCACCTATACAAGAACTTCTCACACTATCTAATGATAAATAACCAGTTTCTCGATGACCACGCAACGGTAAATTATTTCTAGCACAGAATAATATTGTCTTAACTTTGGTATCAGCCAGTGGCGTATCCAGTGTGGTTAGGGGGTTATACCCCTCCCCCTCACGAAAATATTTAATGTATGTATATTGTCTATTGATTATAATAAAAGCAAACAAAATTCAAGAAAAATTTTAATGTTTAATTTTTTTATAACCCCCCCCCCCC